AGAATAGTGGGGCATGAGAGGGTATTAGTGGGTGAGAATAGTGGGGCGAGGGATTGGGCAGATTGTGCTGCGAGCTGCGAAGGTTTAAAGTAAACAGCAGCTGCATTTTCACTGTTTTTTTCAGGGCAGGCCGCAGTCTCCCCCCTTCCCCCACCTTTAGATTTAAAGGGGCCTCGCGGATCTCAGCATTGCCGCTGGTGACTCTGCCCGCCCAGTTTGGGAAAGCTGGCCGTAAACCATGTCACCTTGTAAGATTGGATCCGGGAACTGCGGGATTGTAGGGAACAGGAGCAGGAGTAGCCCAGGTTGACAGTATTCTGCCATTTGACAATCCTTGGCTTCAAATCCACTTTCCCACCCACTGCCAGGTCTCTGAGAGGAACTGAGAGACCATAGTTCAGTTTAATTCAGGCACAGCTGGATTGTCTCTACATCCTTCTGGGATAGAGAATTCCAAAGATTCACAACTGTTTGAATGAAGAGAGCGGCACAGTAGCTCAGTGGTTAACACTGCTGCCTCACAGCGCCAGGGACCCAGGTTCGATTCCACCCTTAGGCAACTGTCTGTGTGGAGTTTGCACATTCGCCCCGTGTCTGTGAGGGTTTCCTCCGGGTGCTCCAGTTTCCTCCCACAGCCAAAGACGTGCAGGCTAGGTGGATTGGCCATGCTAAAATTGCCCCATAGTGTTCAGGGATGTGTAGATTAGGTGGGTTATAGAGGGATGGGTCTGGGTGGGATGCTCTGAGGGTCGGTGTGGACTTGTTGGCCCGAAGGGCCTGTTTCCACACTGTAGGGATTCTATGATTTATGGTTTCTTCTCTTCTCAGCCCTAGAATATTGGCCCCTTTACCTGAGGATGCCTTCCTCTTTTCTTGAACCCTCCCCCCCACTCACTCCCACCTGAAGGAACAGAGGAACTGAAATGTGAGGGTGTTTGTGTGTGTGAACACGTTGGATAGGTTCGGGTTGTGTGTTAAATCTTAGCCAATCAGATGCTGTTTCCCCCCCCCCACCACCACCTCCTCACTGGTACCACTTCCCCAATCTGTTTCCAGGCTGGATTGAGGGGATCCGATTGTCGGATGGAGAGAGGGGATGGTTTCCCAAGCAATACGTGGAAGAGATAACAAACCGGAATGCTCGGATACGGAATCTACGGGAAAAGAATCGGATTAAACATGCAACCAGGAAACTCCAGGAAGAATGCCAGTAACAGGAGGCCCGGCTGTGTTGGAGATACCATGTGGAGCATGGATACCGAACACATGCCAGATCTTACAGAGAAACAGCTGACATTCTAGGTCCTGAGTGTGGAGTCTTTGAGAGACAAGTACTGTGCTCCCCAGTGAGCAACCTTCATTTCTAGTGCATTTTGGTGCATACCATGTCCCAGTGGTATATCACAACATAGATCACCCCTTACTCTCCAGCTCTCAAGGAGACACAAGCCATCTGCAAAAGTTTCTACAGTGGCGACTCAGTGCGCTTTAGGTTCATACTTACAGGGGCTGTGTCTGACTGGTTGCTGCAGGAGGCAAGAACTCAGTGGCTAAGAACTCACTCCCTTTGAAGCAGCTTCAAAAGGGGTTGGAAGTCCAGGGTTGGGGGATGCTCTGTGAGCGGGTAGTGGGGGTGGGGATTAAACAGCAGATATTGAGGGGATGTACTGCAAATTTTGTGGGGGGCGGGGGAGAGGGAAGGAACAAACTATTTCGAATGCAGTTAAACCCTCATTTTCGCCCTCTATGCCCAGACAGGATAGACCCAGCATTGATCTATTTCCTATTGATTGGCAATGCAAAATTAAGCGAGCATAATTATCCTCAGAGTTGAAGGGGTGATTTGTCTTTGTGTCTGGCCTGTGATATGCCCCATGCAGCCTTTCCCCCACCCACCACCACAAGGGGGAGTGGAGGGGGGGATTGGTGGTGGGGGCATCTGTTTACTTTGACAAGTGGATGGGGAAACGGACACAAAACTGCTCGGGTTCCTTCTATTCCTGCTTTGTCTGACGTATCTCAGCCTCTTGTCTTTGGTGGTACCAGAGCTTTAAGTGCACCTCAGTGCCACATGTCTTCAGGTCTGCTGAATAAGAAACCTTCAAACAGCCTAATATGGCCAGGCAGAGACTGAGTTAGCAGCTCAGAGTCAGCGAGGGAGTGGGGAAAAGTCACACTGACTGAGCAGCAGATCAAATTGCCATAACTTGGTACCACAACCTTGTGTAGCTGTCATTCCCCCCCTGACACAGCAGTGCAAACTCTGAAACAGGCTCAAGCCCATCAAAAGCAGTAACTGATTCAGTCGCCAATTCCTCTTGGAGGAGGGACAAAGGTCCCCACTAGGAGGTAGCAGGCCTGATCATTTACTAACTATGACGCAGAGACACCACTGCCTGATTTTAATGTGGGCAGATCTCTCAGATCTCCTTTGCCAATTTATAGATGCCAACTACTCTCTGGCACTTTGCTGCATCACTGCAGCCGAGACCAGAGCTCAGAACATAAGGTATAATAGGGCATGATAGCCAGGGCCCAGGGTTGGCTGTACTCGGGACAGGGGCTGGCCGCTCCACGTTTCTATCCCTGTCCCTGGTTGAGGTTACAGGTGATGTAGAGATTCTCATACAGTTCCAGTAATTCAGACATCAGTCTCCACACAGCAAAACAGGAATGGATTTAAATAAACCTGCATTGGGAAATGTGTTGCCAAGACCTGTTAAACCCTCACATTGCTAATTTAATGTTTTTTTTTCAGGGAAATCGTCATGCAAAGTGAGGGGAGGCAATGACCTAGTAGCATTACCATAAGACTATTAATCCAGAGACCCAGGTAATATTCTGTGGGCCTGGATTCAAATCCCACCATATATTCAATAGAAATCTGGAACTAAGGGTCTAATGATGAAACTATAGTCAATTGTCAGGAATGGCCTGGACAGAGTGGATGTTGGGAAGATGTTTTCATTGGTAGGAGAGACTAGGACCTGAGGGCACAGCCTTAGAGTAAAGGGAAGGCCTTTTAGAATGGAGATAAGGAGAAACTTCTTCAGCCAGAGAGTGGTGAATCTATGGAATTCACTGCACAGAAGGCTGTGGGAGGCCAGGTCATTGAGTACATTTAAGACTGAGATGGATAGGTTCTTGATTATCAAGGGGATCAAGAGTTACAGGGAGAAAGCGGGAGAATGGGGTTGAGGAACTTATCAGCCATGATTGAATGGTGGAGCAGACTCGATGGGTCGAATGGTCCAACTTCTGTTCCTATGTCTTATGGTCTTATGGTCTTAAAAACCCATTTGGTTTGCTAATGTCCTTTAGAGGAGAGAAATCTGCCATCATTACCTGATCTGACCCACGTGTGACTCCAGACCCACAGCAATGTGGTTGAAAGTTAACTGCCATCTGGGATGGGCAATAAATGCTGGCCCAGTCATGACGCCCACATCCCATAAATGAATGCAAAAAAAGCCGTTGTCTCATCTGATTGCTTAACTTGATTTCCCCAGAATTGGTCAACTGGCACCAACCATCATTCACCAACCACTGAGGGCAACCAGTGTAGACAGTAGAGATAGTAGGAACTGCAGATGCTGGAGAATCCGAGACAACAAGGTGCAGGGCTGGATGAACACAGCAGGCCAAGCAGCATCATAGGAGCAGAGAGGCTGAC